AGGTCCCTTCCAATCCGAACTGTTCTATGATTCTAGTTGCATATTTACATTCCTAAGCAAGGACAGGAGATTGGATTTGATGATTAATCCAGCCACTGCATGGCACATTATGAAAGAACTGCTCCTCTGGAACGATGAGACACCACTTACATACTGCTAATGCTAGCAATCATCTTTGCTTTACTGCACAGGGCCAGCTGTTCACATCTTTGAACAGATGCAGTCTCAAGAGTGACAAACCAGGTTAGCCTGTGTATCACTAAAATGTAAACTACTAGCAAAACTGCAGCTTTGGTGGCCTGAATAATTCTACCCTTGAGATTAAAAACAGAAATTCTGACTTCTGCTTCCCCTGAATTTGTGCTTCTGTGCATTAGACTGAAGGTAGATGCTGGGCCCCCAACCTGCCCATGTTAGTCATATTTGGAATTACTCAGTCGCAATATTTGGACGCTGCACCCTACGCATTAAAACAAAAATCTACCAAAATTCAGAATACACTTTCTGTGTACGTGCTCCTTAGTTTTTGCCCAATTCCAACACCGACTTTAGAAAAACATAAAAGTTTCTTTAAATATATCCCAAAAGCTGAAGCAGAACACAATAAGAAAACTGATGTTGCAACAACTAAGTAGCAGTCAGAAAGCAACCCTAGCTTTGCAATTTAAATTCAGCAGAATCAGATGCCTGTGACAGTCCTGATGAACAAATAGCTATATAGGCCAGCATAATTTAGGCCTAAATTTTGCTGGATACACAAAAGCCTTAGGATAAGAAAGGGAAAAGGTTTTCATCTTTGGGTCCTCCTTGGAGAGTTGCTCAGTGATGTGACTCATAAAATCCAACACACACGCAACTAATTTATCACAAATGGGACATTTTCTACGCTGCAGCTGTCAGCAGTTACTCTGAATTTACGGAGTAAATAAAAACAGAATTTCATCAACTTTGCCTTTACTAAACTGTGCTGCCAGAAGAGATGTCAGGCCATGTTTTGTAAAGAACATTAAATAGCTTTTAGTAGATGCATTTCTCTTTGCTACTAATTCAAAGACACGTAACGTGGTATTAAGTGATTCAAAAGGTAAACAGGAAATAATATATAAATAGATTTCTTTGCACCAATGGAACCAGACTAGCTTGTACAGAAGAATGGCACACAAGTTATTTCAATGTATTTCGTTCATTATTCCCCTTCTGAGTAACTGCTGGGTTTTAATAGGGCACAAGCATTGTCTCAGACAACAAAAGAAAGGTACCAAATTCCATATTAATTTAAATCACCTGAAGTGTCTGACATGATGTGAAAGTCAACTATAGAAAGGCTGTAGTAGGTGGTGGGTTTTTGGTTGGTTTTTTTTCCCCAGAACTAGGACTAACAAGATGTATTTAGGGATTTCTTATTTGCCATTCAGAAGATAGGATATTGTAAAAGTATGGATCCAACTTTAAGAGCAAACTTTCAATTAAGAAGTGAAATTCTTGTGAGTAATCAGGAGTAAAAAAGGAAGAATGGTAGGGTGAGGCCCTCTCATCTTTATTTTTCTGCCTTCACATTTCAATACTGGGACATTTCACCAGGAAAAGGCAGGAAAAAGAAAAGTCATGGTTGTCACTCTGCACATACATATACCATCACAATGGAGTAAACTGTGCTCAGGGCAAGGGAAGATTGTAATCCAAGTCAACTCTGCAGAAGTCTGCTGGGTAGCTTGCCAGGAAAAAAAAGAAAGTATTGAAAAATTAAAAAAAAAAATCTGTAATCCATTTTAAGTATCATTGCCCCTCACAGAGTTTACTGTAAGTATTTATACACATTTTCTAATAATGAGGTAAAAAAGAATGTAGATATCCAACAGTCACAAACTCATTTTTTTCCAGACAGATAAACAAAAAAACCCCCTTAACTCCTTTTCTTTTACATCATCAGCTGCCACAAAAAAATATTTGTTTTAGTTTACTAACCTTTCTGGGATTTCAGATCCACTTTTCTTAATTGACTGACATAAACATCTATTGCCCCATGATGTGTAGAAGCTTTTAGACTTCCATCTGATGAATCTGGAAAAAAAAAAAAAAGAAAATAAAAGAACATGTGTATCATTCACTCTTTTTAAATAAAAAATTGCTAGAATCTTACTTTGAACTGATTTTGTCAGTTCTTCTCTGTTTGAAAAGTATCTTATATTGATTGACTGAATATCAGACTTCTCTTAGAAAAACAGGTTTCTGAACAAAACTTATCTCCCCAGCCCAGAACTGCAGCATACACTGTTCCCAAGGCCAGAGCCCTGCAGTTGTTACTGGAGTTGTAGCATCTACAAGGCCTCAACAACACTCCCCTCTCACTACAAGGATGAATTCATCTTTGTGCGAAGATCAAACGCAAAATTTGAACACTAATATCTATTTTAGTTTCCAAAAGAGTTCATTTGCTCAGACTCTGCACAGGGAGAACATTACCCAGGAAAGCTGCCCCATGCAAACAACAAGCAATTGTGCATTGTAACATCTTGTTACACAGAGAACTGTGTTACCAGGCTTTGTAAAGTCTGATTCACTACATCTGAATTTTAAACAAATGTTTGAGAGAATGATAGGAAAACAGCATTTGTTCTTTGCCTTGGAATAGACACACCTACATTTTCTTCTATATCTTATTACCTGAAATTTATGATAACAAAACTTGCTGAAGAAACCTTTTTTACTAATAGAAAGCCTTTAAGAAACCTTAATTGTATACTTCTCAGAAATTGTACACTTTCTTAGAAATAGTCTTTAATTACTTGCAATGTATTCCAGTTTTAAAGAGACAAAATTTCCACAATATGACAATGAAGTCATGAAGCGTTAACTTTTGAACTACTGAACAGACCTATAGCTGATAAAAATTGCAAAGAAATTATGAAGAAAGTCTAGAGAAGCATAAAAAAGTTACATATGTACATAAGCAAAAGGCAGGCAGTGAAATATCTTTCTAGATACACTGCTAGAAATGAAAGTAGTGGCAAGAAATCTTGAAATACTGATAAATACTATTTTTCTTAGTTTCTGGATGTGCATACAAAAAGAAACACGGTCAAACTTTCAGAACTAGCTAAAATAACAAAATCAAACCTGAATGAAACTTTCCATTTTAAAAATTAAAAACATTAATGACAGAATGAAGTTAATTAGTCATAACAAGGATGTCTAGCTTGCCACACAGTTTTAGCTCTAAATACACTCATCTGGAGCTTTTCTGATTCCAGATCTCAAGCACAGATGTGGAAGATCAGTATATTACGTATAAAAGTAAAAACATAGAAAGGGATTATTATCACACTGCTAAAACTGATTGCTTTGGCAGGGAAAGTAATTAACAAAAACAAAGTAATTAAAAAGGACAAGTAGCCAATCCATATTTAGTCAGCTGAGAACCTGGGACAAATAGGAAAACAGTAACGACTAGAATTGGATGGGAATGTTTCTCCTATCTCAGCAGACTATCATAAAGAAGTTCTGTTCCAAATCTGAAGGAAAAAAGATGAACTCTTTGTTAACTGAAAGTTTTGTTTGTGTAAGTCACAATGAAACATTTTATTGATAACTTTTTAAAGTGTTTGTAAGTTTGAAAATCAACATCATCGAAACAGAAAAATTTACATGAACGAATCTTTTTAATAAAAAATTTTTGCAGGGATAAATCAACATTTTCACGTAAAAGCTACTTTTGCAGATATTCCAAATCAAATTTAGTTAAAAGCCAATCACTGAGACTCCATGTAACCTTGACAGATATTTTGATAGCAACAGATACAGGAAGTATCCAGCCTCTGACTCGTCTGCTTTACACAACACATGCGGTTAGTTCCTTTATCTGCACTGTGAAGAAAGAAGAGTTTCCTGTGATAGGACAGCGACCCTCTCCAGGGAGAACAACTGCTAACAGCCTGTACAACACCACCAGCTGATGGTACTTCACACAGACAAATGTTTATTCAGTGAATCCTTCCTCTTCTCACTCTTCAAATGCAAAAGCAGCTCTTGTGAGATTCTTCACAGTGGAAAGATGCCTTTTGCAAATCGATTAGCCCCACTTCAAGATTGAACAGAGTTCCTTTCTAGATTTTCAATTAAATATATATATATATACATAAAAAAAGGAATTTAATTTCGTGAGAGTGACTGGATTCTGTTTGTAGATAGCATAAACAGAGTAAAGGATGCAGGAAGAGGGCAGTAGGCATAGGTTCACCAAGGCACAGATTTACGGTGGAAGTAAAACACCAAATAAAAAAAGAAAGAAAAACCAAAACAAAAGACACTTGAGGGAAAGCGGAACACTGTTTTGGGAGGGTGACTTGACAGATTTTGACTCCCAGAGTACACCACTGAACAGAAGTTTGCTATGGCAGAAGAAAATACAGGAAAGTTGCAAAACCACTGAGAACTGCAGCAGCATTAACCAAACACTAAAGTAGACATTACAATACCTGTTTAGCTTTGATCTATGGAAATAATTTTATGGAAACAACTGAACATGATTTCTGGAAAGAATTTTACAGATGTGATATTAAATACAAATGCTTAGGTACAAATACGAATGCCAAGAGACTTAAAGTTGTTCATCAGTTCTGCAAAGTCTATTAAAGAGGCTGTTTAGGTTTTGTGTCTCTAACTCTAAACAAATGAGAAGGGGAAAAATGGAAAATGGATTAAAAACAGCAAAGATAAGGTTATATAACAAAAAAGGCCAAATTTAAATCAATGAATAAATATTTCAACAAGAAAAATTACCCCATATTAAGTAACACAATCTGGTAGGACAAAAAATACATAACTGAAATAATAATGGAGACAATACATATTTTACAGTTATGACAAAACAAAACTAAGGTGATTTATTTTTAAATTATTATTAATCTGTAAATTAAGGCACCCAGTCTTAGCTGAGATCAATGTGAATAACTGAAGGGAAAAACAAGGAAAAGAGTGCATAGTTTGAACTTAGAGTTTGCTAAGGACTGACAACTCCAGGGGAAATACAGGGATGAATTGTGCTACTGGAGACAGAACAGATGGTCACTCTTGAGCAACTTCAGCTGTTTAAGAATTTACTAATAAAGGAAAAAAAAGGACGGGAGGAAGCAGTGAAGCAAGATGTCCTTGACAAAGTTTTTGTTAAGTTTTATGAAAAATAAGTACAGCTTGAAGAATAAGATCTAAATATAAGTCATCTTTCCTTAAATCTAGGCAAAACCCGTATTTTCCTAACAGCACATAATGACTGACTTTGCTTATGAGAAAACTGATTTCAATATTTATTTATTTATTATGATTTGGTTAAAGATAGGAAAAAGTATAAGATTCCAACATATCTGAAGTGTGAGGAAGATTGAATTCCTACTTAACTGGCTATCTGGTATTGTTTGTTGTCAATTTTCTTGTTTTAGTTCATTGTTCTAAAACTGTCACATGAAAAAATATTATGAGAAACTGAAATGCACACATTAAATAGACTAATTGCCCATACTACTAAAAAAAAAACCCATGAGTGGTCCATACCATACTGACCATCCGGACCTGGTAAAACAAATGATGTAATAGAGAAAGCAAAGAAATCTCTCATGAAAACAATTCCCTTGCTAACTAAACTGTCCAGATTATTCTTTTAACCTCTAAATTATCTATTTTCTAACTCAATTTTAAAAAGTTATATAATTTGTTTTAAAGGCCATAGTCTCTTTTGGATAACTTACTCTGTTCCAAAAAAAAAAAATCATGACATGCCTCAATCCTGCATCGTAATACAACATGCCAAGTACAACTTCACCTTGATAAGCCTCTGACCTACTGCACATCAACTGGGATCTTCCCCTTTGAATATCTATCCATGCTGTTCACATCTACGCTTCTTCTTCCACAGCCTGTACCATACTGTGTTAATCATCTCTGCAAACCAATTAGCTATAGGTCTCTACTATTTTAAATGCTGAAGACACTAATAGGGTGGAAGCAACTTTTGAAGAGGTATGTGCATCTAGACAGGAACATGATTGTCTGTAATATGAAATCCCCACAAAACTCCAATGGAAATTTCAATAAATTATGTAAAATTGCTCATCTGCGAGCCTCGAGTTGGAGGCCAGTAACTAGCAGTGAACTCCAGGGTCAATACTGGGTCCAGTCCTGTTTAACATCTTCATTAACAATCTGGATGATGGACCAGAGCGTACCCTCAGCAATTTGCTGAGGAGACCAAACTGGGAAGAGTGGCTGATATGCCAAAAGGTCATGCTGCCATCCAGAGGGAACTGGACAGGCTGAAGAAATGGACTGGCAAGAACCCCATGGGTCCTGCAATTTAAGAAGGATATGAAGGTTCTTGAATGTCTCCAGAGGAGGGCAACAAAGCTGGTGAACAGGCTAGAAGGAATGCCCTATGAGGAGGGGTTAAAGACTTTTGGGTTTGTCAAGTTAGGAGAAATGGAGGCTGAGGGGCAACCTAACGGTTCTCTACAGCTTCCTAAGGAGGGGAAGTGGAGAGGGAGGTGCTGATCTCTTCTCCCTGGGATCCAGTGACAGGACTTGTGGGAATGGTTCAAAGCTGTACCAGGGGAGGTTTAGACTGGACATCAGGAAGCATTTATCAAGAGAGTGATAAAGGCTGGAACAGGCTTCCTAGAGAGGTGGTCAGTGCCCCAAGCCTGTTAGTGTTCAAGAGGCATTTGGACAATGCCCTTAATAATACGCTTTAACTTTTGGTCAGCCCTGAACTGGTCAGGCAGTTGGACTAGATGATCGTTGGAGGTCCCTTCCAACTGAAATAGTCTGTTTTATTCTAAGAAGATATAAAAAAAAATTGCTCCAAATACAAAGTAAACTTAAATACTACTATAGCAACATGCAAAATCTTCAGCGCCATCATATGAGATGCTATAAAACATACATCATGTAACATCACCAAAATTGTTTATTGCTAATAGAACATATACAGAAGTAAAAAAATTTATTCTTTTCAGCCGCAAGGGAAATACTATTGTTCTCATGCAGCAGCTACTTTTTCCATGTGCTCCAATTTTTGGAAGTAGTTTCTCCAGGGCATAAGCTCTGTCCAGAATACTATATAATTACATTCAAAAGGATGTGAAGAGAGGGAAGGGGAACATGGAAACAAAGACTGACGATAAAACCAAGTAGTAACTCAGTGGGTATTAACTCATATTGGACTATTTACTTTTTTAAAACTTTCATTTTTCATAACCTGACACCTGAGGGATAAGAAAAAGCAGCTGATTGCAACCTACCTGGAGAGCAGCACCCTTACTATAGGATGGTGTGGAAGAAAGCATAGGAACAATGGCAAAAAAAATTACAGGTCTGTCATTGGCAGAACACAGAAGGTCAACTTCTGAGATACAAGGTTGGAATATAAAAGGACACTTAAAAAGAGAGCCAGAACATTAACATACTTCAAGCAGATGACAAAGACTAGATCAATAGAACTAATTGCTATTAAGAGACAAGTGTGCGCATGGGGTTTTTTTGTTGGTGGTTTGTTTTTTTTTTTAACAGTACGTAAGAGCCCTACTTCACAAAGTACAGCAAATGCCTTTAATGGAATTCAGAAATTAGGTTTTTAATCATAAAATTCCCTAGATCACGTATCAAAAACTGAATCCTCAAGACGAAACTTATAGATGCAGCATTACTTCTAAATACATTGGGTTTTTATCATTTTATTTTTTCAGCCATCCAAAACTGACACCAATATATTTAAAATAAAATTAGTGTTTCTTGGATCTCATTACATAGTCCTCCTTGTCAGTATAAGTACCTGCTGCCTGTAGGCTGGTTAAGGTTGTTTCCTCCCCTCTGAAATGAAACACCTACCGTAAGCTTTATCATTTCTGACTATACTGAACACAGAAGATTCATTTCTTCAATGCATAATTGGGTTAAACATAAGTAATCCAGTAAGGAAAAACACTGTTTTTTTGGAGTTGGTATGGGAAAATTTGGCTTGGCAGCAGAGTAGAGAATACATAATCAGACCATACCAATAACATGGAGAAATAAGCAAATTCTAGCAGGACTGAACATGAGCCAGCAGTGTGCCCTGGCAGGAAAGAAGTCAACAGTATGCTTCGCAGTATTAACTGCAGCACAGCCAGTGTATCAAGGGAAGGGATTATCCTCCTCTACTCAGCACCCACTAGACCACTCCTAGAATACAACATCCAGTGTTGGGGTTCCCAAGAGAAGGAAGACATCAATAAACAGAAGCACCTTCCCCATCAGGAGAGGCTGAGGGATGAGGGCCTGCTCAGCCTGGAGAACAGACTGCTTCAGGACCTGACAGCAGCCCCTGAGTATCTGCGAGGAGGTGATCAAGAAGACAAAGCCAGACTCCTCAGAGTGGTGCACGATGAGAACACGATAGACAACATATATAAGTTGAAAAAAAATGAGTTTCAGTCTCGACAGAAGGAAAATCTTTTTCACCCTGAGGACAGTCCAGCAGTGGAACAGTTTGCCCAGAGAGGCTGCAGTCCGCATCCTTGGAGGTTTTCAAGACCACAGGATAAAGTCCTGAGCAAGCTCACAGTTAGCATGGCTTTGAGCAGGAGGCTGGACACTACAGACTGCTTGAGCAGGGTGACTGAACAAGACCTCCAGAAGTCCCTTCCAACCTCAACCATTCTATGATTCTGCAACTTCCTGAGGTCTCTTCCAACCTGAGTTTTCCTACAAATTTACTGAATAAAAATTTAAAAGATTAAGCTAGTTCTAAACCCAAAGTGCTCCATTATTTTTTGTAAAATAATTCAGATTTCTAATGACTATTTTAAATAGTAACTTGAAGTAAAAATAGGTCTGGTGGTTTTAAGAAGACATTCAAAACCCATAGAACATTTGTAAGAAGTAGGAAGCTTCTAGTATAGGGTTGGAAAACAATTTGTCAGTGATTAAAAAAAGCTCACAGTAGAGGAAAAAAAAAAGAGAAATAATCCCTACTTTCATATTTTAACAATGTCAGTGTGAAACACTGCCATATGCTTAAAATTAGATTGAAATTTGGACAGCGTCTTCAAAAATAAAATTAGATTTATACAAACAAGTAATACCAAAATAAAAAAGCAAATCAAACCAATCTATAAATAATAAAAAAGCAGAAAATTAAAGGGAGTGAGAGACAACAAAATTGGTTTCTGTTTTAATGCAGAATTATACAAGAATAAGAAGCTGTCAATACAGTTGCTTGTATTTTTCCCAAAATATTTTGGAAAAAAAAAATAATCCAGCACTCTCAACTCAAGCTTGACTTGTAAATAAATCTCTCAAAAGCAAAGGATACATCCATAAAATCTAAAGATGAGTGCATTTTTACAGTTACCTGATAAAATTCTGTCTCCAGTAAAGTAACTGACTACATCCCTATGAAAACCCAGCCAAGGAAGTTGGAAAACCTGAGTTGTTCTTCCTATTTCTATCCACAAATCCCTATCAGGTCTCTAGCAATCCAACAATCTATCCCGTGGCATAAGTTTCTCATACACAAAAACCTTTCACTTAAAACTTTGCCTTTTCTTTCTCAAGTTTTTAGAGCTGAACCACTGGATCTTAAAAGTCTTTTGCCTTTGGAAAAATCCATAAAAATCTAAAGGATGTTTAATGCTCTTTAGGAGAAGGTTAAGTCTAACTGGTGGTTTCAGAATTGAAATCTGAAAACTTAAGTTCATTCAACTGTAAGAAGTGTCAATGTTTAAGCTGAACCTGGTTAATTAAGGAAAATAATCATCATCTGTTGATGGAAAAAGCTACCTCCTGTGTTAAGAAACCTTTATTTAAACACTCTCCATACTCCATGAGTTTATTTAACAGAAGGAAAAACAGACTAGCAAGCTTAATTTAATTCTGTGGTTTAATGACTAATGTGTATTACATTTATTTTCCAGGAATGTTAATATAGATCGCTTAGAAACATTAGAAGAGTTATAACAGTACAGATCGTCCCTGAACAATACTTAATGAGTGACTATGGTTACTACCATTAGCAGGAGTTTTTGAGATTTGGGCCTGTAACCATGTTATTTACAGAAGGGGAAATCCTTCTGTGTATGTTCAAGAGACACTTTGTCTATGATTCTGTTAGTTGAATTTTCTGCCAAAGAAATAATCAGAATTTGAGTTTCCTTCTTTTATGTTGATGTACTGTAAAATGCAACTGATATAATGTATACCATAATTGATATGTCCTAATTATCCTGTTGTATAAAAGCTTCAGTTCATGAAAGAAAATTTATCAGACTTTTTATTTCTGAAGGGAAAACAATGATTAGCATATAGTTTGGAAATGTTTAAATTATCACAAGCCTTCCCTCTTCAAATATGTAATACATCAATGATTAATGCTTTGTGATATAAAAATTAAGCATAGCTAATCACTAATTAACAAATGTAAGATAGAGAACAAGGTTAAATGCAAAATAATTGCATTTGATATATGCTTAGTGTTTTCTTGTGTCCTTTTATCCCATCTTCATCTAAAAAACAACACCTAGGCTCAGTCTAACTTGTGCAAAGCCCAGCGGGTATTGTGGTATCAAAAGCTAGACAGTGTGCCTTGCCTAACTGCAAAACGCTGACAGTCAAGTTTGGAAAGGGTCTCCTTCACCTACACAACTATCAGTGCTACTCCTGAAAAGAGGGCAGAAGCATCTGTAAGGAATCACCTCCTTTTTACTTTCCCTGGGAATATTTTAGAAAGGAGAAGGGAAGAGTGAGAAAAAAGAGATCTTTCAGAAGAAGGTAGAACCTACCTACTGTGATACTTCCTGTTTTGGTCTGAAGGCTGGTGTTACCTATTAGGAAAATAAAAGGGGAAAAAATGTTAAAAGCATATTATTTAACTGGTTTCTGAAATCATACCAAAGGCTAAAGTAATGTGATCCTATACAAGGGCATTATAGTTGTAGTAGTATATTAAATCACACATAAAAGCAAAATAGCATAAACCAGTTATATTGCTTGAATGTTATTGCTTTACAAACAAAAATCTCAACACGTGTGGGTAACAATGAAGTGATTCCAAACAAGAAAAACACTCTGAGTAAAGCTTGAAGACACAGACTGGATGTGAGGGAGAGAAAAACATTGCAAGGCTAAAGCATAATATTTTCTTATTTTATTTTGGACCAATTTTTTTTTTTAATTGCTCTGATGCCTGCAACAGCACTATAGATAATCTAAGTAGTTTAATAGGATGAGTAAGATAAACAGTTTCTATTTTCCTCTTTTATACACATACACACATGCTACCTCCTGCCCCCAAAGGAATTTTTTGCTTTGTTCTCAAAGGACTTCGTGGACTCACTGAACATTACATACTCCCTCCAACTTATTTTTAAGTGCATGACAACCCCCGTCAATGCTTTTCATCGACTTCGGTGAGATCTGAGCATGTTAGACAGACCGGAGAACATCAAACAAAAGAGTGTATAAGGCAAAAAACGTAGAATTGTCTCCTACCAAACTTGCATTACTTTGAATAGGCACTGGTGTTTTAGCCTTAAAATCTCAAAATACATTTTCTTCCCCTTTATCTATGACATCAAAAGAATCTGGAAGGACAACAGATGACCTCATAAGAGAAAAGCCATCTGTACTACTAACAGTCTAACAAAGTTGGCAGAAAATTCCATAGTTCCATGTATGTTACACATTAATAACTACGTCACAAAAACCCACTTTAAATTAATAAACTAAACCACATGTCATTCCTGCCACTCTCTCATCCTCCCAGGAGCATAAACAGATTGAAAAATAAGGCTGATCACAGTAATTGAGTCCAGTTTAGTGGAGTATTCACAACAATCTTCAGATCTTTCAGAAGAGGCCTTTAAAAATTGCAAATGGATCAAGCTTTGCTCCTATCTTCTGTAATTACACAGTAGTAAACAACCATTAGGGTAGATCACATTCCACTCTATATGACCTGTAGCATTTTTCTTAGTGGTCTGGGGGCTGAAAGCTAGAAAAGCAGTCTATCATCAATAGTCTTAAATTCATAATTTCAAGCACATACTGTACAAAATACTTAGGGGTTCTCAAAATCAGAGTCAAAACAAAACCATATTAAAATGAACTTGAAAGACGTTTGGCTTTGCTGTTTTTAAAAGGCACACTATAATTATCCCACTCTTTTCCCCATTTTATCATGACTAGTACTTATTTTTGTACAACCTACAAAAAAAGCCTAGGCTTTGTCAGTTAGCAACTCCCATGGAGCTGAAGCTAGATTACACTCTGAATATAACCCCTGGGACTTGCAGATTTGCTGATCTGTTCTTTCTTTTTCTCGGTTTTTTTGGTTTCTCTTTTGATAAGCAGGTCCTTGAAAAATATTAAACATTTAGAAATCAAACTCTTATTAGCTATGAACTAATATGGCAGATATGACTAATGTTGCGTAATGTAAACATATTAGTGCAACAGGCTCGCTTCAAACATTTAGCTAGAACAAAAGTTGCTTTCAAAGCAGATAGGAAATTCCT